ATGCACAAAGAGAATTGTGCATCGGTTGCTGGGATCACTGAAGATTGAACATTATTTATTTTTCATTATCTTTCAAAGGCAAATCATAAGCTCATTTTATAACATGGAGTAATTTATTATAAGTATGAAGACTATTAGGATATTTAGTAGCCATTCCTACCTTTTAGAGTAAGGGGCAAAATGTTGCCTTTTACAGAGAGGAAAGCCACAAGTATATTTTACAATTTTACAAATATCTTTGTAAGATTTAGATAATCGATCATACTCCATGAGTTCTACTGATTTGATAATGTATTTAACAGAAGTTGTAAGTCTTTTTTAAAATAACATAAAAGGCAAGCAATTGAACATAATAAACACTTCAAACACATCTTTAGACTGACAAAAATCTGCTATGTTTGTAAGTGTTCTGGGTGCCTAGAAACAGAAAACTGAAAAATTACTGTAATCTGGTTTTTGAGAAGAAATTCAAAAAATGTTGGAAATACCCAAAAATACATTAATTGCATTAATAATAGTAATAATAAAAACTGTATTTTCTGTACAGCTTACTCAGACAGTTGAAAGTGCTGGATTTTACAAAGACTTTTAAATGAAACTTGTAGGTTTATCATTTATGCACAGAGCAACAGATGCAACAAGATGCAATGTCACATTTGCAACAGCCTCAAAATCATCCTTTAATCTTGATGCCCCCCCTGCAGTGGTGAAATGTAAAATTTGTTACTACCAGTTCTGTGGGCATTGCTTGATGGGGTGGGGGGGGTAATGTGCCTGGAAGGGTGTGGCCAACTTTTGTTTTTTTTACTTTTAAAAGCATTTTTTCTACAACCGTAAGAGGTTGCAGAAAAAAATGCTTTTAAAAGCCTCTGACAATCAGGCAGCTCAGCTGGGATCATCAGAGCCTTTTAAAAGCATTTTTTCTACAACCTCTTCAGCTGAAGAGGTTGAAGAAAAAATGCTTTTAAAAGTAAAAAAAAAAGCCTCTGATGATTGTGCGGCTCAGTTGGGCATGGGGGGGGCAGGGATTTTTGCTACCGGTTCTCTGAACCACCCACTGCCATCGCTACTGGATCGGGCAATCAGGTCCGAACCAGCAGCATTTCACTCTTGCCCCCCTGTGACATATAATTCTTACTTTACTCAAAAAGTGAACTCTACTCATGTGGAAGAAGCCTAAAAGGCCAATAACTTGGTTTAAACAAGGTTCAAATTGCCCCCATTAAAAATTAAATGTTTGTTTGTTTTATGTTTTATTAGATTTGCCTCCCTGTGAGGCGTGGGCCCCATGTTGGGAACCACTGCTTTAGAAGAATCTCTTTTTACCCCTTTCGTGTTTGTCTATACTACTCCTTTCAGCAACTACTACTGTCAAACTTAATTCAAAGACATATTCAATGTCACTAATTTAGTACAGAAAGCAAAAAGGCATCAAAACAATTCCAATAACCAATATTCTCACTGTTATACTGACAATTTACAATACCCAAACACAATAGTAGCAATATTAAATACTAAACTGTTCTAGAAGACTAGGAGAAGGGAACACCAGAATGCTCACTCCAATGGACATAGTTTGAAGGCTTTTAGGCAATCACTTTACCTACGCTTATGGGATAAAGTTTTACTGAACTTAAAGATTCAGAACTGAATAAATCTACAGAAGCAGTGGTGTTTAAGTATTTATATTTAACTTCTTTTTATATATTCTTCTAAACACCCCTAAAAGCAGAATAAGAATATGCAGTATATCACAGAAGTGAATACACTCCCTCACATTTTGTAAATATTTAAGTATGTTTTCATGTGACAACACTGAAGAAATGACACTTGGCAACAATGTAAAGTAGTGAGTATACAGCTTGTATAACAGTGTAAATGTGCTGTCTCCTCAAAATAACGCAACATGCAGCCATTAATGTCTAAACTGGTGGCAACAAAAGTGCGTACACCCCTAAGTGATAATATTGCTCCCTACATCCCAAAATATTTCAGTTTTTACAGACATGGCACTGACTGTACATATTGCTTTTATAAAAATTCCTGCAAACCCATCAGGTATCAGATGAGAACATGCATATTAGGTCAGAACAATACTACTAAAATCATTGCATTACTTTTCAGCTACATAAAAACTGAAGCTATATTGCATAGAAATGTTGGCGTAAGAAGGGAAAATTTTGATTAGAGAGAACAATTAAAGCATCATTATTTTAAATTGATGTTTATTGTGTTTTTAAATAGGCTGTACACCGCCCTGAGTCCTTCGGGAGAAGGGCAGTATAGAAATAAAATGATGATGATGATGATGATGATGATGATGATGATGCACAAAAGGGAAGTAAAGAATACTCAACTGATACGTATCAATTGGTCTGTATCAAAACACAATAGTAGGAATTTGCTCTACACACTGTTCCATAAAATGAATGAATACACTGTGGTGAAAAGTGACCAGAATAACAGTACAGGTTTCACTTCACCATAATCATTCTCTGAACCTCTATGTAGAACATGTTTCTAGGACTGGACTATGCCAAAACTAACTTTGGGATACATCTGTTATCTCTAGGGTCCAAATCAATTGAAGATATATAAGGAGTTTGTTTTATCAGTCTACCTTTAATATTACATTTACTATTAGTCTTATATTTGCAATAAAAGCTGTAAGTTACCTAACGAATTGGACATTCATTGATGATTATTTGTTTACTTGCTGCCATGGGACAATGCATAAGTTCAGGTTGTGCCTTGTTATCAATTTTATGTCCGATCAAATTTGTCACTGAACAGGTGTATTAAAATCATTTATAACTGGTGAGTAAATGACAGCTAAATAAGTGCAAAATATAATACATATTCAAACATACTCATCCTGAATTTTTCCCCAAATTCATTCTAGTTGTAATTGATAAAGCAAGGGCACAAAAATGTATTCTGTATGTATAGCTGGCTTGCTTCATCAAATGGATACCCACAGCTAAAAAAGCTTTGTATATTTTTTATAAATACGTTTTACTAAGTCAAATAAAAGAAAAAAGAAAATCAGTTCCCTGTTGAGACTAGCACCTATTCTGCAGGACAATACTTTATAATAATAACAATCTGCTATTGAAGCTTTTTGCAATCCACAGGAAGCATGGCTTATTACTAGAGATATGAGTAAACATGCTTTATCAGACTAAAGACGCTACAGAATCAGATAAAAAGTTTACAAGTTCAGTTTCCACGGTGACAATTCACTAGTATGATTGCAGGAATAAATTGATCAGGGGCTATGAGAATTGAGATTTAATCTAGACAAGGCACAAGTAGTGATGGTCAATAAACAAACTGGGGAATAAAAATAAACTTGGAACAAAATGCAGAAGTGAGAATGCTTTAGTGTCCACTTTTGGAATCATTATTACTCCCCATCTATTTCATACCCACTGGTTTTATATTTATTTCCAAAGTCTGCCATATACTAAACAAATAAACATTTCCAAAGCCAATTCAATGTCAATAGCCCTGATAGGTTTAGAACCAGGTTACTGGAAGGATATCCTGCAAAGGGCCTCCCTTTGCATTAGACTTGTCACTGGAGATTTATCATCATGGGGAAAGTGAAGCATTGTAGCCTATACTTGAATGCAGCCTACAAATCAAAGCAATACATACAAATAAGTACGAGAGAGTGTAAGTAAGAAAAATGAAACTCAAAACAATCTACCTGTGGGTGGGAGGACAGAAAGTTACAGTTATACTATTTTTTTCACCAGGGTTTAATGATTTTAACCAGGTATTTAAAAAAAAACAGCTACCAGTAGGATGCCTTTTAAATGGTCATTTTATTAACCAGATTTGTGTTGTTGTGAATTACAGGTAGTCCTTGATTTATGACCACAATTTGAGCCCAAGATATCTGTTGCTAAGCAACATGGTTGTTAAGTGAGTTTTGCCCCATTTTATGAACATGCTTGTCAGAGTTGTTAAATGAATCACTGCAGTTGTTAAGTTAGTAACATGGTTGTTAAGTAAATCTGGCTTCCCCATAGTCTTTGCTTGCCAGAAGGTTGTAAAGGGTGATCACATGAACCTAGGACACTGCAACAGTCATAAATATGAATCAGTTGCCAAGCATCCAAATTTTGATCACATGACCATGGAGATGCTGCAATGGTCATAAGTCACTGTTTCAGTGCCGTTGTAACTTTGAACAGTCACTAAACAAATGGTTGTTAAGAAAGGACTACTTGCATGGGGTTTTTATGAGGGCTGAAAGGTGCTATATAATTGTTTTACCAAAAGCATAAATCCATTGGAAACTCACTAATAAGGCATATATCCAATAGTACTTCTTTGTTGTTGTCCCCTTCAGTAGAACAGTAAGTACTGTGTTGTATCCTGAAACCAGAATCAATGACCAGAAGCTATGGATAGCCCAATCCTCACGGATCATGGATTTATACTTAAAATCAGCTAAATGTTGTTTTTTGTGAAAATTTAATCTCTTTTCTGTGGAAAAAACAACTAGACTATAGAGTAGCCTATCACTAGTGTTTGATCTCTGATTAGTGTCACTTCAACAAAATCACAACTCTTGATCCTCAAAATGTGCATTTTTTCCATCACAGAGATTAATGTCATCATTGGAAAGTTTTATTAAATAAGCCAGGCATATTGGCTGCCTCTAGAAATACAAGTTTAAAGACAGGCTGTCCAAGTGTGATGGTGAGTCATGACGAAGGGCAGGATACATAAAACAGTGTACTTTTCCAGCCAGATGTATATTTAGGCATGCAGAAGTTGCTGAACAGCAAAAGCTTGTGCTTATTTGTTTGGATAAAATGTAATGAGAAGCTTTTAAACTAATCAAGTGACAAGTGGAGCAAATGCACAAGATGTCAATACAGTAGCCATTGCCAAAGCAATTATAACTAAGAAAAATGTGCAACTTCACCCCCTTCCACAAAACACAACCTTCACATGAATTAGTTAAGAATCAGAACTGAACCAACCCCTCATCTTCATAAAGGTACTTGACAATTCCCCAGAGGATTACAAACAGCATTGGCACACCTGGGGGGAAAAAAAGGAAAGAAGAAATGCATAGAGAATGAGTCACTAGAAAAACAATCAGGAAGGCTTGCAATGTTGTGAAATTCTATTCAGTGCAAAACTTCCTTAGTCAAATGAGATTATAAGTGGCACTTATGCATTTACAAAGTCCCTTATAATTATCTGATGACCTTTAAAATGCATTCTCCTTAAGAAAGCATTTGGGTTGAAAATCATAATGTTGGAAGCACTTCAGTAATATCTTCAGATATAGTATAAGACAACATCATGTTAGTAGATAGAATGAAGCCCAGAAGTGCAAATACAGAAAAATCCAAAGAAATAAAGCATCACATTCCTTTAATTTCTTGGATACCTCTTGTTGGGATATGAAGTACCAGAGGATACTCAAAATATGTAATTTGTTCTAAAAAGAAGGCTATGTAGTTCTTAGCTCTTCCTCAAGGAGATGTTGATCAATCAATCTAGTGAGATGATGCTCCTTCTCCATGTTTCCTGCAGTGCTATCATGGACATGTGCAATTTGAACAAGTTTGAATTTCCTCCTGCTTCACCTTTCTAACCAATCCGTTCTTACGGTAAGAAAATATGGCTAATAATGTACAAAGAAAATATGCCTTCCTCCCACTGTTAATGGCTATGAATACTGAAATACTGATATTGCTGATGAAAGACTGTTTAATAAAACGCAAAAAGTCAGTAAGCAATTACAGTTTGTTTAATGCATACTTGTGTGGCACAGACAAGCATGCATTTTCTTTTTAATATCTCATCATTTTCTTTAAAGTTAATGCCAGAGTGCTCTCTTGCTGGAAAATTGATAACCTTTATATAATTCAAATGGATAAAAGCAGGGGTGAAATCTACTTACCTTCCCTACCAGTTCGGAAGTGTACGCTCGCATCCCGTATGATTTTGGACTCTCTGTGCATGCGCAGAGGGTAAAAAACAGGTTACTTCCTGGTTAAAACCAGGAAGTAACGATATCCAGGCGGAGCCTTGTGCTGCCGCCCCTTCCAGTTCTCCGAACCACCCACCACCACTACTGGTTCGCCTGAACCGATGCGAACTGGTAGCATTTCACCCCTGGATAAAAGATTTAAAATTAAATATAGAATTTAAGTTAGTTTTAAAGTAAATTCACTTTAAGTGTTAATTATATGTGGGTAAAGTTACTGCTATATAATGTAAATATCGGTATGCCATTGTTTGTTTTTCTTCTTATTCATTGGTTCTATAATGGTTGACTTTGTGTGCTTCTGTAAACTACTTTTTCTAATTGGAAATTTCTGGTTGCCAGCATTAGTTCCCTTTTGCAAGTTTAGTAAAGCCAAAATATAACCTATTTTTTTTTTACTGTTGTCCTAGCTACAGTTAAAAATGCTCCCTCAATTATTAGATGAAAATTACTAATCAGTAGGCTGGATAGTTTAGCACTGTTCAACTAGTCTTGCAGATTAAAACCAAGTATAGGAACTATGAGAAATTATCATTTGGTGACTGCAGATGTTAAATCATGTATTTAACATTACATTATTCACAATTTATTAGATATAAATTGGCCCAACTGATCATATAAGCAATAGGCTTGGTTACATGGTGAATCAGTCCCCATGTACATCTGCAATAATGGATAAAATTTTGGGTATTATTACCCAGAAATATTTTTTCTTATCTTCTCAATGTTGCCACCACTTTTGGCTTTAGAATGTACTTAATAGTACATGTTTTCTTCATGCAACAGAGAAAAAAAAACTACTGATACTCCTTTATTTATTAAATTTATTCTGATTTTTCTACTGTTAGTAGAGTAGGCAGGCAAGTGACGTGACAACAGAAAATGTCTCGCTAAATGTGATATAATGCCTAGCCGCGGTTTAGTACTGCATGATATCCTGGGATAGTCTAACTGTCCCTGTGTAATCTTGTAGCAACCTACAATTAGCTGTTATGAACTAAGTTTTATGATCAGACTAAAATTCGGATTAAATCCAATTTGTAAAAGGTTTATAAAAGCAGGGAAAAGCAAACAAACAGAAGTGGGGAAACTTCTGAAGAATCATTTCAATCTTGTTCCGATAAATTTCAGTCATTGGCTTTGATACTATTCCTGAATTGAACATACATTGTTGCTATGTTTTACTCTAATAGCAGCTATAGGTAATCAAAACCTTTTGTATTCCTCTAGTGCTTAACAGAATGGAGCATTAAATCTGATAAGAACTCTTATTAGAGAGGGTATTGCTAGAATTTAAAGAATGTGTAAGATTTTTTTTCAAGAAATAAATCAAGGATTCATGATGGCATTTGTGCTATATAACATTTGTGCTATATCGTTTCTTAGATAACTGATAAGGAAGTTAGCCACTGTAAACACTAAGTGGGTCGGGAAGAAAAGAGACACTTTCATGAGTTAAAATGCAATTTAGAAGTTTAACATTTAAAAAGTGATATTTACACAATTAATATGTCCAATGGGATTACAGAATTACCATCAGTGGACTTGTTGAGAATGAATATTGCATTAACTGTCTACTGGAACAAGTAAATGACAATAAATATAATCCAGCTGTGGTAGTAAAAAAATGTATCAGATTTTTCATCCAAATTCATTTATAAACCCAGGTGCATGTTTAATTAAAAGAAACACTTATTTACTATGAATGCTATCTTCTTGACTTTGAAACAAATTAAGGCTGTATTTATAATCCATAACATTTGTAAAATGAAATATGCAAACTGAAAGAGAACAAATTATATTTCTGCAGAACCAACAGATGTGCAAAGCAATAACTGCTGTTACTGTAGAATTGTCGTGGCCAGAATATATCAGAAACATTCCCACTTCTGATTTTTATTTGATGTTTGAAATCCAATTATTAATCCAAATGCCAGTCGCTGTGAACCCACTGCAGTATTCTAGTAAATAAAAAATAATAAAGAGCTCAGAGATAAGCTGCTGTGTTGCTGCTAAATTTCATTGGTTCCATATGTTGAACAGTCTGGATTTATATTGGACCATTATATACTGTACAGTTACCACTATCTTTAAGCAATCTTTTCCCAACAGCATATGCTTCTGGTAAATTGAATGTGCCAGTCCCAAATGTCAGTCAGCACATTTGGAAGATACCACATTACAGGAAAATGTGTTTAGATGAGTTGCAACAAAGGATATAAATTGCTGACTAATGATCCAATGCAACTTTTTTTTTTACCTCAAGTGATATTTTAATATCCTTTATTTTATGTTAGCTCAGATGCTTACTTAACTGAGTTGATTATTTTCGATCTTTTGTGTACCTAGGAAAATCTCTATGCACCTGTAAATTATCTTTTTTTGTGCTTGGTTTAAAATTATAAGAACCTGATGTTACCTGATGTTTTATTAACAATAAGGTAAAAATACACTACAAATGAAATATAGTGAAAGCAAATAAGTGTTTGTAGAAAGTAATGAGAGGGCCTTGAGGGGAACAGGCAAAACCCATTACATAAGCAAAGAGGAATGAGACAATCCTTAAGCAAGAAACTCAGAGACTCAGGCAAGTGGAATGGAGTTATCTCTTCACAAGTAGTCTGAACTTCTGAGAAAAATATTAAAATTACATAAGGTGAATTACCAAAAGAGTTTTTTTTAGTTTTATGGGCAATTTAAAACTTGTTGATACAGTGGCAGTTCAAGAGAGTATTCTAATTTTTCTGAATGATAGATCTTTTTCAAGAACATACCTTATCAACTAAGGTTCATAAAGTACAGATATTACCAGAGAGAGTTTGGTTTTTAAATGGAAACCCAGTTCTTTCAGAATGGTAAAATGAAATGCCATTACAGAAAGAAGCAGTAGTGGAAAAGTATAAATAGATTTTTTGAAAATAATCTTAATAAAAGTAGAGATATAAGAATAGTTTGGGTGGAAGCAAATCTTTCAAGAGAGATTACTTTATAACTCAAAAAGAAGAGACAAGAGAAAACACAAGCTATTTTCAATGAGACAAAAAGAAAAGAAGAGGAATTAAAGAGGTTTCCAGAGACAATAAATATTCTCAACAAATTAAGCTTCCGCTTAATAACAATTATCTATGTTAATATTAAGAGAAATGAAAATAAAACTGACAACAAGGATTTTATAAATAAATCAGGAAGTGGTTGGCATACAAATTATGAAAAGAAAATGACACTGAAGTTATAAGGCGGAAGTACTGAAATAACAGATAATTTGGCTATGCAAAGAAGTATTTCATCAATATTATTCCAATTTATATAAAGGACAAGCATTTCCTTAGAGAAAACAGTATATAAGAACATGTAAGAAACAAAATTTATTGAAGATTACAGAGAAATAGAAATAGATTATGAATGGGCCTATAATAATAAAGGACGTTTGTGAAGCTATTAAGAAGATTAAAACAGGAAAGATATCTGGACCCGATGGGTTATTGGCTTTTTATTATAAACGCTTTGAGTTATTAATTCCTCAGAAACCTTTAACTCAGTATTAAAAAGTTGGTTATGAAATAAAAAGGCTGTTCTATTAAATCAGAATTACTATATGTTTTGCCCTAAACATCCTTAATAGAAGAAATGATATTACAATCTAGAGGACAAAATTTCAATTGGAGTTTTTCCTCTCTGTATTCAATTTATATATAGGTCATCCTTCAGATTCAATGAAGATATGTTGTGTACATCATCTATGGACACAGAGATGGCTCTGCAAACATAGTCTGGAAGTTCAGAATCTAGCACAACTGGGGCATGGGACTCCATTATAATAACTTTTGGTGTTATTCTGTGATGCCACTCAATATTTTCTATCAGTTTTTGATTATGACTATCTTCAAAGTCAGTAGAGGCTTCAAAGGACAGTTACAGCTTTTAGTTCCCTTTGCTGGATGTCACAGTAGCACAGGTTTCCTTCACAGCATCTTTGAAGTGCTTGTGTGGATGACTTTAAGGTCTCTTCACAGTTTCTAGTCTAGTACAACTGGTGAGCAAC